GGCAAGTCGAAGCCGCCTTTCGACAGGTGCTGTGTGGCGAAGGCGGTCGTTGTTAAATGGATGAATTTGTGCGCGGATGGGGACCAGATGCCCACGTCGTTTTCAACAGCAACTGTTGACTATATACCCTGTCTCTTATACACATCTAGATGTGTATAAGAGACAGGGGCAGGCAACCCCGCACCCACCAATCAATCACTCAATCAATCAACGAAAAAAAAAAAAAAAAAAAAAAAACGTTCATTTTTTTTTCCTTCACTTCTCCAAATTCTCCTCGTAATATAGTCCAACCCCCCCAATTTAAAATTGTTTTTTTTTCATTTTTTCTTGTGTGAGGGGGTGGGGCCGCCCCATGGCACTTCCCGAATCCCCAACCCCCTTCCCCTCTGGCCGCCACGTGACGTCAAAGCCGCGCGTCCGTCCGCCGGGTCGGCGGACTGGCCGCGTGGGGGGATTCATAGTCTCGTAGTTGAGCAGCTTCCCCTGCCAGGGTTTGTCTCGTAAGCGAGTGTTGGATCCTTGTGGGGTCGTTGTCGTATTCACTGTCGGTGCTCAGACTTATCTGATTGGCAGAGTTTCTGTCATCTTAATTAAACTCATTTTCATTCCATTCATTCAATCTTTTATCATTTCATTCATTCATTCATTCCCTTTAATGACTGTTGTTACATAAACTCGAATTGTTATACTACTACAAACATTTTGTAGAATGCGACATTCAGTGCGAACGTGGTAGGAGAAGGTGACTGTTTTTCCTTGCATAGAGGGAGCTGATTAATTCTTCTGAAGTATGATTCTTTAGCTCAGGTTCTCTGATTTTTCTCCCTCCTGTGGAAGTCGGTATTGGTGTTGGAGTGTCGGTCGTGGTTGGAAGAAAGAACAGGCGGACTTTTTGAGGTCCTTACTGGAGATGGCTTAGTTTCATAATGTGTTCTCTCCGAATAGCCTCCATGCCATTCATCTCAACCCGGTCATCCTGTTAACCTTCGGGTGTTGGGAGTGGTAGTGTAGGAAGGGGGAAAGCGAATACATTTAGCGGGACACCAGGACACCGGTGGGGCTGGACTCTTTCAGGGGAGCTCTCCTAGGACGTGCAGCGAGGGTCATGGGGGTGAGTTGGTAGGAGCCCTATTAGGGGGGTCTGTCTGGCAGATTGGAAGCTCCGTTCCAGGGGCCACTGAGGGAGAGAAGTTTCTCCGTCCACTATTGATTTGCACGGTGTCTCTGGCCACGCAGTTTACTCTCATAATCGAGTGGCTTATTAAAGTCATTGCTGGTTATAGGCTTAGGTTCTGTCATTAAAATGTTGATACTAAGGAATCTTTAGTGTATATAATCATGCATTCATTCATTTCAGCTCAAACATCGCATTCATTCAATTTTGCAGCTTCTATTCATTCATCTCCCTTAAACACTTCTTTTTAAAATCCATTAAATTAGCACTTCAGTAAAAGAGTTGAAGAGTTGGTCATTCAGCCGAATGGAGTAATAGGAGACGACTATTTCTAACGGGTAGCCTTTGGACATAGCCCAGGAGTAGGCTCGGTAGGGAGGCGCTTACAGGAAGCATGATTCACGAGTAAGTCAGGATTGTAGAAGACAGGCAGCACTAAGGTTACATCTTTGGGGGAGAGTGAAAGGAGTAGCAATGGGGGACGTCGCTGAAAGCAGGAAGCAGCAAGCAACAGGAAGTAGGGAGCAGGGAGCTCAGTACGGAGGTAAATGGCAGATATGGACGCAAAGGCCCAAGTAGGAATCCAGTGCCCTCCTCCCCCTCCCCCGACAAACTTTTGGACCATGGAAGATCAGACGAGGCAGTCGATTGGTCAAAGTTACGATGAAGGTATAATGCATATCAACCCAAATTTTGGTCAGGTAATCGTGGAGAGAAATGGAAGAGGTTCAAAGTCAATGAATCCCTGGATGCAATCAAGGAAAGATGGCTGAAGGAGAGGACTGTCATAGTGATATTCCAAGAGGAGGCCGGGAATCTAACGAGAGGAATCAAAAAAGATTTGATTAGGGCCTCCGAAGATGGGTGGATGGCGAGGAGACTATTCGATCCGGAGGTGAGGCGCGACAGAGTTACTTTCGAAGGGGCAAACGCCATCTTATATGTGGCGAAGGCACCAGAGGTGGCAGCCTGGATGGTTCAGAAAGCAGCAATGAAGCTGACATTGAGGGGCATTGACTATCCAGTGGTATTCAAACCTTGGATGACAAAGGCAGATTTGAAGGAGCTCAGGCTGAAGGAAGCAGAGACGAATTTCTGGATCGTAGCCTTGAGGGTGTCGTTGGAAGCTTTCTATTACTTAGCCTCGGCAGTGGAAGCCCTGATTAGGGGGGTGAGGCACATGCATCCGTCGGAGGTTGATCGCTCATGCCCAAAGCTGATGAATGTTAAGTTCGATATGGAGCCACAAGCGACGTATCGGGTGGAAAACACTTTGGCAGTTGAATCCCCGAAAGGGGAGATATGGAAGGTGGAACTGGCGACGCCTTATACGGAATGGTGTCGTCGATGCCGCTGGTACTTCCATACGGAGGATACCTGCCCCAAGTCCCAACAAGCAGATCGTCCGGTGAGACAGTGGACGAGGTCCAGGCTTCCACGTCAGAATGGGTCGGGGCTGGCCCAAGGGGGTCCAAGAGGCACCGGTTCAAGCTCCTGTGAAGATCCAGGGGGAAGTTCCAAGAACACAAGGACCACAGCCTGCAGGAAATGGGAGGTCGTACAAGACCCAGGTGTATCAGCAACAGGCCCTCAGGTAAGGCAGCCTGCAGCAGATCAGCGGTTCCCAGAAAGGTTACCACCATAGCCAGGTCCCCCCTTCAAGAGCAGGGTATGCAGGTAGGGAGGGGAGGAGAGTTGGGCTACAGGGAACAATTTCCCCAGTGCAGGCTGCGACAGGGGATGTGGGTAGAGGCGCTACCTCCTAGCTATCCACCCCCACTCCCGTACGGCCCTCATCCACTCAAGCCATATTCTCCCGCACCCCATCATCAGCAAATGCATGATTGTCCACTGGGTCCACCAGGGAGGCTGCCTTAGGAGTGGGGAGGGCCGCACGACTCAGGAGGACAGGCTCACCACCCACAACCTCTGGACGCTGAGGGAGGGTATCAGAGCATGCATCATGGTATAGGTCATTCTCCCTCTCCCACAGTTCCCCCGGGGGGCCCAGATCCAGACTTTCCTGAACGGAGACTTATGTACCAGCCGTTGGGAGGTACTCCTCCGTCGTGCGCAGACTCGTATTGGCAAGAAGTGCATCGGGAGGCGTCTAGACCGCATAGACCACAGGGGGGGGAGACAGGAAGGGTCCCATAGTGCTGAGGAAAGGGCTTCGAGTAACAAGAAACAAAGGTGGAGTGGGGAGGTTCAGGGCCAATGTAGTGGCAGGGGAATGAGCGAGGGAGATGTTATACAGAGAAGTCGGCTAGGATTAGTAGGGGGAGAAGTGAGCGAAGTTGGGAGCTTATGGGGGGAGGGCAGAGAGGAGAGGCTTCGGCACTCTCTGTATCCTCTGAGTCACGTGTGGTGGTAGGAAGTGAAATTTGGGGAGATGAGCTCCATGGGTCGGGAGAAAGGGATCTGCAGCCAGAATTCTCTAAGTCGGAATCATCTACGGGCAGCTCAAGGGCCTCACACAGAAGACGGGCACTGCCTTCAGACACACAGAGCAAGCTGGAGTACAGAGAAAACCATGGGAGGTTGTCCCCGGGGCTAAGATACCAAGATAGGAACAGGGTGGAACAGAGGATGGTGCCGCAGGTATGCACGTCCACGGAAGATGGGGCATTCTTCTTTGGGCTGGCGGACTTGCAGGGTCGTCCGTACCTACCATCAGAAGGAACAGGGATGGCGCCGCTACCTTCCGAGATTCTGGCACACACAAAGAACTTATATGGTGATTCCTTCCGTGTAAGACTGATTCCAAGATCTACGATGACAAGCATTATAATCCCTCTAGAGGAGCAAGTTGTTAAGCTCTACTTTCCTCTACTCGATGTCAGAATCAGTGCAGCAGCAACCGAAACCCTCTCACAGAGTTCAGTGGTTTAAACTGGATGCAGTCAGGGAGCAGAATGCTCAGGAGCTGGAGTTAATCTCGATCACATCAAGCGTCTTGGCACTGGTCCTTCTCCATGTGAATGAGTTGGCAAAGGGGGAGAACTTGCACTCACCATTCATTCATGATTCCCTGACGATGCATTGGAGATCGTCTACAAGGTCAGTGGACTCAGAGGTACCGTCCACAGACAGCCCGATGGCTCGTACCCCCTCAGAAGGGAATGGCCGCTGGGGGGATGATCCTGACAGCGCTGCAAACCGCATCCAAGAACAAGAAGCGGTACAATCCCCTGATGGTTAGACTCAAACTCGACACTTGGAATGTAAGGGGAATGGGCAACCCGTTGGATAGGGGAAAGAGGAGTGGCTTTTTTTAAAGAAGTTGAACGAACTTTGCATTGAGGAGTCTAAGCTGGATGAGGCTAAGTTGCAGCGATATGCCCAATGGTGGGACGGTCCGCAAATATGGTCACCGGCGCAAGGGTCTAAATGAGGTGTGGGGATAATCTTACATTGAGATTGAGAAGCATAGGTTATAGATGCGGAAGCGGATTTATGGGGGAGGTGGGCGTGGTTTCGACTCCTGGTAGGGCAAGAGTAATGGTTGTTGATGTCAGTGTATGTACCCTCAGTGTTAGGCTCCACGGTGGAGTTTCTGCAAAACTTGGCTAGTAAAGTTTCGAATGTAAATGACAAGATAATTGTAGGGGACTGGAACATATCCCTGGACGAGGCAATGATTCAGGGCTTACTCATAATAGGGAGAAGAGACGCAGCAGCGCTACTAGAGGTAATGCATGCCTTGGACCTGACAGATCCCTTTTGGCTACTAAATTCTGATGAAGCAGGGTACACCTGGTACTCAAACCCCATAAGAGATGGGAGAGAGGGAACGAGACGCCGCCTGGACTACCTTCTTGTTTCAGACTCACTATAACAACAGGTCACGGCAGTGAAACAACATTCACACCCACTCTCGGATCATAAACCGATGGTGGCTGGCCTAGTCACAGGGCCTAGGGGGCATAGAAGGAGAGGTTTCTTCAGGCTGAACTCTCAGAATGTGGAAGACCCAGGTCTAAAGGAATGGGTGTAGGATCATATGGATTCCTGGGAATCTGCCAAGGATCTTTTCCCCTGGCAGCTGACTGGCTGGATGGAGGTCTGCTCATGATTTCAGGAATGATGAGTGTATGCTCACCCATTCTGGCTAGAGACAGGAACAGGGAGGAGAAACAGTGTTGGAGATCAGTAGAGGTGGCTGAGTGGAGAACGAAACAACGCCTCATTTCAGAGCAGTCGTGGGCGGCAGAGAGGGCAAAGAGGTTGGGAGAATGGGAAAAAATACAGGAGGCTAAGCACGGAAGGTGGGAGGAAACGTTGAAAACCAAAGGAATTATGGTCCACGACAGACTGACCAAAGTACGTTTTGCCGATTGCTACCTAGCGCAACTCACCAACAAGTGGTCCAGCTCAACCACCCCTTCGATCCGGGAGCAGAACCTGTGGCAGAACCGGAGAAGACGTTGGAATACGCGCGTCTGTACTATGCGGACATTCTGACAGCAAGGAGGCTTGGTGACTCTCTTCTCAGGCTCTCACGGACCTGTCACAGAACAGTGAAATGTGGCAGCAGACAGAGGTCATTTTGACAGTACAGGAGAGGTTGGCTCTAGATAGACCAGTTACACTAGAGGAGGTGGCCCAGACGCTAAAGGTAATGGCAGTGGGTAAAGCACCCGGGAGGAGTGGCCTTACAGTGGAATTTTATCGTTGTTGTTGGGATTCGTTGGGTCCGCCTCTGGTGGAAGTCTATAATAAGGTGCTATTGGGGGAAGGGCTTGGTGCTGTGTTGACGCATGGAGTCATTGCTCTCATGTTTAAGAAGGGAGATAAAGCGAATGTGTGGAGGTATCGCCCAATCTCCCTTCTTAACGTCGATTTTAAGATTTTAACGAAAACATTGGCACTGAGACTAGGAAGGGTGCTTCCTAGGCTAGTGGAGCGAGATCAAGGGGCCTTTGTGCAAGGTAGGTCAATCTTCCTCAATATCCTCACGGCAATGGAGTTAGTGGAGGTCTTGAAGGGGGAAAACAGAGACATGGCAGTGTTGATGCTAGACTTGGAGAAAGCATACGAGAGGGTAGGCTGGTCGCTTGTCTTAACAACTCTGAGGAAGTTAGGGTTTGGGGATGGGATCTGCAGATGGGTAATCACTTTGTACACAGCAGCCACCTCAGCAATACAGGTAAATGGCCACCTCTCGAATCTCTTCTGACTAACACGCTCCCTGCGCCAAGGCTGTCCGCTAGCGCCTCTCTTATTTGTGCAGCAGCTAGAGTTCCCCCTGAATTGTATCCGCAAGCCTCAGCTCTTTAAGGGCCTCCTCTTGGAGGTTGGAAGGGATTGTAGGGCGAAGGCCTTAGCTGACGACCTTTTTTAATCTCAGAGAACTCAGTATCCTCGCTGGAGGCAGTCAAGTCAGTTCTGCAGGAGTATTCGCTCCTATCAGAGGCGCAGATCAATTGGAATAAATCAGCCTTTATTCTGTCGGAAGGCTTCGCGCTAGTGGTAGAACGGGGGATGCATAGGGTCAACCCAGTAGAGGGGGAGAGTTTTATGGGAGTGTTGATCAGCCTGGAACTCATATCCGCCTCATTGTCCGGGGCACAAGGGGCGGTGCTACAACAGTGCATCACGTTGAAACTGAAAGCGTGGGGTTCCGCTTGGCACTTGTCGATCTTTGGGAGAGCATTGATCGTAAACTCTTCCCTCCTCTCTCTGATATGGTTTGTGGCACAGGTGAGAGAGCTCTCCACAACAGTGTTGGCAAAAGTAAAGAGGTTGATTACAAGATTCCAATGGAAACCACGCGCGGGGTTGGAAGATGGTTTCTCGGTGAAAGTGGCCTGGGACCTGATTATCCATGATAAGGACCAGGGGGTTTCGGGCTCATGGACCCCCACCGGTCCCCCAGCTCAGGAACCAGGCTTGCCTCGGGTCATGGGTGGCGAAGGTGGCTCTGTCAAACTAGAGGGAGGACTGGATATTGTTAGGGGAACGCATACTGATGCAGGAATGACACCTGAACAGACAGGGGGACGTGTGGGTCTGCTTTTTTATCAAATCCTTTATGCGGCACAGACTGAAGTCATAATTCTAGGAGGGCGTATGTAGAGTTTGGGTGGCTCACCCCCCTGATGCAAGAACTCCTCCGATTTCAAGAGAGGAGCTCCTGAGGCAGTGTTTATTTGAGAACCTACTAGTGTTGGATAGGGCGGGCAACGAGTTTATGGCCAATGCGGCTCCTGGCGCATTCGGGAAGGCTTGGGTCCAAAGGGGGTTAGGTACAGTGTTGGACCTATGAGACCCTCTAGTGGGAAACTGGAGACCAAAGAATGATTTGGAAGAGAAACTACAAGGTCTGAGAAACATGGAGTCAAACCTCTCAAAACTAAAGCGGGCAATTCCACAGACCTGGAAGGATCTGTTGGGCCCGGAGGCCTAGGATCCACCAGGCTGACACCTGGTACGCGCCATCAATTCCAACAAACCCGCCTTCAGTTTGGAGATTGCAGGAGGTAGCGGAAAGTGGCTTCAGGAAAGTAGCAGTCTGGTCAGTGAGTCCCATCGATGGCAGTCTACCTGAAGGCCAAACAACTATCATTCAGGTTTGGGATATCCCCCCGCAGATACGAGTGTTGCAGAGCAGAGACGGGAGAGGAAACGTGGTGAGAACTGTTTGGGTAGGTCAGACAGCCCTCCGGCAGCTGTCAATTGATCCTATGGCATGGAGCTGGTCGGAGGGGAGAATCTTCAGGGCACATCCCCAGGGCCTGAACCTAGCCAGCTACTCGGCAGGAGAATCGTACAGGCTAGCTAAGAAGCCGTCGAGGTCGCCAGCGGAAGTAGCAATCGCAACTGTACTTCGATGGGAGCTGCAGGAGGAAGCGGGAAACTTCAGAAAACTGTGGAGGGTCCTGCTGGAGCTTCCGGACGTGAAACATGCAGGGATACTGTGGATGTTGTCCCTTTTAGTAACCCCATCGGCGGTATGGCTTAGAGCAAGGGGGGTGGAAGTTGACCTGGGCTGCACCCGCTGCAAATGGCCGTTTGAATCTACTCGCCATTTGTGGTGGGAATGCCCAACGTCCAAAAGGGTGTGGCAATGGTGGGCCACACACTGGCAACTGATGGGGGGAGAAGGGGTAGAGTGGGATGAGAAGTGGGTGCTGTTGGGATTCACAGAGGAAGACTTCACTGGACTAAGGGGATGGCCATACGTAGCGCAGGTAGCAAGGGGCTATGTATCACCCGAGGTCGCGACCGCGGGCCATTTTACTGCCCGCGGTCGAGATCCCGCCTACGGCGGCCGACCGCCCGAGGCCGAGCGCGGTCGGAAACCCCCGACATTTTTATCTCATAGGATAATAGGCCAAAAAAAAAAAAAATGGGGTTGTAGGTTTTTGTGCGCTCTACAACCGTATATTTTTAGTTTTATTTTTTGACTTCTTTTTTATTTAAAAAAAAATAAAAAACAGAAATCTCTCAGGCAAAAGTTCTTCACTTTATTTTTTTAGTAAGAAAAATAAAGGATTTTGTTTGTTTTTTATCTCAAGTTTGGTAACGAATTTTAATATGACCCCATGGCAAAAGTTGTTCAGTTTATTTTTTGGCATAACATATATTTTTTTCAGATGTTTCTGAATTCTTTGTTTCTTTTTTAGGATAACTGCTCATGGGTCACACTTTAAGTTTAAAACGGCCAAAAAAACACTTAATGGTAACATTGCAATGAGCCCAGACGTGATGATACTCGTCAACATTACCAGTCCATATGATTATCGATCTGCTGATGAATGACAACAATCGCAAATGTGTGTGATGATAGAATGAGGTGAGAATCATACACAGACGAAGGAGGAGAGAAGGAGAATAGACAAAGGGGAGAGAAGAAGACAACAACCCACTTCTACTTCGGATTCCTCCTCCTCCTTGCCACCTCATCAATCAACAGACTGAATACAATGTCTGAAGTTCTTCCTCAAGGTGCCACATGGCACGTCAATCTGTCTACATCAGCATATGGAGAGTATCGTCATCAACCAGGTACGTATCCTCGATAACCACAGTCTTGATCCCCTTCCGAAGTGACGAAGAATCAGAACAGCCTCAATAATCTTGCAGCCCGCCACGTCATCAATCATATACAGGTGGCAGCGGCCACGTCAGCAACGGCGCGTGGCAGCTGCCACGTCAGCATGCCCAAAAGACCATCGCCAGCCAGCAGCTCGCCAGCCAGCAGCGCCTTGCCGTCCTCCTCTGCCAGCATATAGCCGGCGTCAAGCCAATGTCGCCATGTCGCAGTATAGCAACAGCGTCAAGTCCACGCGTGAAGTCAGCATTCACGCAAGACTGAATCYCCTCCAGCCAGGAAGTCAACTCTTAAATAGCRTGGRTGCGGGGTCTGGACCCCGGGTRCTGARGTCCTGCACCGTCCAGATCTCGATATGARTGAGGGCCCAGATTGGCCAGAAACTGTATTCCTCCCGCCCTGAATGCTGTCTGGGTACCTGCACACAACAAGTGAATGTATCCGACCATAGGCCTGGGTGCGGTACCTTTGACTYTACAGTTGACTTTGACTGTTGAATTTCCTTTGTGCTGCGTTCGGTCACACAGCCTCCTCGACAGACTCAGGCTGGGCATGTCTCGGTCACATAGCCCAGCACAGACAACTGAGTATGTGTCTTACCGGGGCAATGTTCTGAGCCCTGGTCTGCTGCTGAACAGGGTTACTGCATTCCTGCCGACCCAAATTTCGAGTTCCATCGCAGAAACATTTAAGACTTCAACCCACGTTCATAAGCAGAGACAATATCAGGAGCAGATTCAAGGAGTTCTCTTTTACTAAACCATCTGTCCTCAGATGGGTTCTGACTCTTAAAACGAACCTTGAATTGCTTCTGGGGTCGTCCTCGTGCACCTGTAGAGAAAAACCCTTGTTGTATAATTAGGTCCACTTCATATCCACCATCCATATCTGGCGGTATCATAGATGGTCTATGGGGGAATCCATCTCCTTCTACATAAGGTAGCAACTTAGACACATGAAAAACAGAATAGGTTCTGAGATGAGGGGGTATATCAATCCTGTAAGACGGTCCCTCTGCATCTCCAATCACTTTAAGAACTTCCCAGGGTCCAAAATAGACAGGCAGGAGTTTCTGAGAGACATTTTCTTCTAGTGAAAACTCTTTAGACTTGATCCAAACCAAATCACCTTCTTTGAACGTTGATGGTCGTCGATGCTTATTAGCTTGTTCGATCATCCGGTCCTGAGCTTTCTTTAAGTTCTCCTTTACCTTTTTAATGTCTTCTTGAAACAATACTGCATATTCGCGGGTCCCTGGAGGTAACCTAAGAAGCTGGTCCTTCGTCAATACATCAATGGGACACTTAGGTTTCCACCCTTTATGCAGTGCGTTAGGTGTTCGTCCTGTAGAGGTATGGACACTACTATTATATGCACTTGCTATCTTAGGTAAGTTCTCATCCCAATCTATTTGATCGGGTCTTACATACATGCGCAGAAGTTGTTGGCACAAAAGGTTCATTTGTTCACTCTGGCCATTCGTTTCAGGGTGTCTACCTGACGACATGGTTAGACGTATACAGTATGCCTCCATCAGCTTTTGTCATGGTATACTTGTGAAC